GAATATGGATGGGAAATTCCCAAATATTGAAAAGGGCAGATTTGTAACTGCTGATCTGAAAGGAGAGGGTACTTAAAAGTTGTGTTGGATACAGTGATCTGCTTGAATAGAAAGACTGACTACTAAAATGTGGCGATAGGCCCTTCTTTGAAGAAAGAAAACACAATTTATACAAATCCTCTAACTCTCTTACCGATTGAGTCATTTGATAAATCAAAGCTGTAAAATACATCTGAAAAACAATTGAGAGAGAGAGAGAGAGAGAGAGAGAGAGAGAGAGAGAGAGAGAGAGAGAGAGAGAGAGAGAGAGAGAGAGAGAGAGAGAGAGAGAGAGAGAGAGAGAGAGAGAGAGAGAGAGAGAGAGAGAGAGAGAGAGAGAGAGAGAGAGAGAGAGAGAGAGAGAGAGAGAGAGAGAGAGAGAGAGAGAGAGAGAGAGAGAGAGAGAGAGAGAGAGAGAGAGAGAGAGAGAGAGAGAGAGAGAGAGAGAGAGAGAGAGAGAGAGAGAGAGAGAGAGAGAGAGAGAGAGAGAGAGAGAGAGAGAGAGAGACTGCCTTTAGATCTTTTGGTTCCCATTTCTTCCTCTCCTTCTTTCCTTCTCGGACAATCAAGTTCCATCCTTCCACCCTAGGTCCTCCTCTGTTCATATATCTACCTGAAAAGTCCCTCGTAGCAGCCTACACTGCTGAAGGCATGGACAGTCAACTTTCAGTGGACTAACAAAACCAAGTAGAAGTCTGTAAGTGCTAAGCAGGATAATCTCGATTTGAATACTCTGCAAACTAGAGGCAGTATAAACCAACAGGACCAGGGACTGCTCCTGCTCAAAGGAAGCTGATGTAATTTCTAGATTGGAGGTTTCAATTTCTTCTCCATATTGGTGCTTATGAAAAGTTGGGCGGGCCCTCAATGCCCTCGTCTATGTGGTGATTCTAAAAGAAGTGGGATATTCACACCTCTGTATGTAGAGGAATACCCAGTCCCTAGGGAACCACGAACACAACACAGTTCTTCAACAAATGGATGTGGAAGGTAAGATGCAAGAGCACAGGGGCTTGACTTGCCTTCACTGACATTGCACACTGCAAAGTTCCCCAAGGTGAGATGTGATCTCATAGCCCCTTGGACAACAGAGACACATGACTAGTCAACTAGGCAAGGATGCAGTGTGTGTGTGTGTGTGTGTGTATGTGTGTGTGTGTGTGTGTGTAAAACTTTTAAGGACATGGCATACCTATAATTCATGTATATATGTATGTATGTATCTATGTATTGATCAATCTATCATCTCTACCTTATGGTACTGAATGTATAATACAGTATAGATATAATACATGCATTTTACAGTGCCTTATAAAATTCTTAATTAAAAAAATCACTATTTAAATAGCCAAAACATTAAGAACACAAAAGCTTCCTGCCCCGAAGTCCAACTTCAAGGAGAACAAAGAAACTTCTGACGACTATATATTGAGCAACAAACCCCAAGCAAGTATTCCACACACCTGCTGAGAGGTGAGGGTACCTGTGCTGCAATAATTTGGCTTATGAAAGTACACCCTATTTCCAACACTGCTCAATCCAAGAACTGACAGTAACGATCCACTTGCACAAGTTTCAAGTAGAGGACAAAAAACAGACTCACCAAACTCATCGCATATACTCTCATTTTCTATGAGAGTGGGGTGATCAAAGGTGTCCCGACAGTACAGGATCTGGGGGTTTCTGCTGACCACTGCGATGCCCCCCAGTGCTAATGCAAACTGGTCTGTGAGGATGGAAGATGGCTTATCCTGGATCCGTTTAAGCATCGAGCGGTACCTGCAGTACTGAGGGTAGCTGAGCACAATCACGTTGGTTTCTTCCTCGTCCTCCCCTAGACAGAAGAGAGAGCAAGTCCATTAGTTTCTACTCACCATGGCACGGCCTTCAGTGCCGCAGTTGAGTTGTGATGGGTTGCTTCTGCTTTGAGAATGGAGATTTCTTCTTTAGCGGGCTCTCATCTTTACTAGTCTGGCAATACCAGAATCTTCTAAAATCCCCTCTCTCAATCCAGCTCCCCACCCTCAAAGCTTCAGGCGGCCCTGAGCCTAACTACTTTGTGGCTCTGGGGTCGTACACAACGTTTGGATCACCTGAGGCGGTAGAACCAAAACAACTGTTTCCAGAGAATTTGACAGATTTTTAAGATGACTGATGTCGGGGCTGGAAAGACTGCTCAGCTGTTAAGAGCACTGGCTACTCTGGAAGAGGACCCAGGTTTGGTTCCCAGCACCCACATGGCAGCTAACAACCGTCCATAACTTCAGTTCCAGGGGGATCTGGCACCCACTTCTGACCTGCATGGGCATTGCATGACATGGACGCCCTTATGTACATGCAGGTAATGTACACATGAAATAAAAATGACAATAAATAAAATATAAAAGTGTTTTAATGTTGCTAAGGTAGGGAAAACTGGTTTGCTGGGCCTCTTTAGTATTTGGTTTTAGATTGGATTATAGTGGTATTTTTTGTTGTTGTTATTGTTGGGGATCTCTGAAATGGTCATCTGACCCAAGAGACGTCTCCATGGATCCAAAGAGCATTCTCACCTGCTCTGGGGCTCAACAAACATTTTGTGTTCTCTTTTCGGGCCTGTAAAAGCCTGTGATCCCCACTCTTTTGGGACCCAGGGTCCCCTGGATTTGTTTTGGCCAATAAACGGCAACAGAAGCGGCAACTTTAAGAGCCAGTGTGCCACCAACCACACTGTCTCTGCCTTTGATCTGACCATCTGTGGTGCTCGGGCAACAGCTAGTCTGCCAGTTTGGGTCTTGGAGTGAAAACAGCGTGGAGAAGAGCCCCTGATCGATCCGAAATAAATACACAGTGCAAACAGAAAGGGAGCCTGTATTGTCTGTGATGATGCGACTTGGGGGGTAATTTGCTGTTACTGCATGATTTACCCCAACTTGACTGATACCTCCACCTTCTCTACCTCTCCATGCACTCAGACCCCCTATCTTTTAATGTTCTTCAAGTCCATCTGGTACCCTAACGCATCTCCGAGTACCATGCTGAGTGGGCTCCCTGAGCGTCCTGGTGATACACTTCCATCCGAACCAACTTAACTCAGGAGAGGATTTCAGAAAACAGAGTCAATTTTTCTCTTCCAATGATCCGGATGCTTAGTGACATCCCCACTATATTTTGTGCTCATTTACAAAAAGAAGATTCAATATGGACAAATCCTTCCTTCATCCTTAATCTTGAGAAATGGCAGGTACCCCGTTCTGGTAGCCTGCCACCTTCACTGTGCCAAGCAGAACTTGGGCTCTATAACCTGCTCGGCCATTATTTTACACACCCACAGCTACAGTGTGGGGGTCCAGCAGTTTCCAGACTTGTCATTTGCTCATCCAAAGGGAAAAACACTCAATATTTCAAGCCCTTACTATGCTGCAGAGGACTGCATGAGGCAGTTGTAAGGAGCACAGTCATTATCTTGGCCATCTGGTAAGCAGTGGGAGGTAAGGATGGAACACAATGATGGAACATAACCAGCACCAACGAAAGGTGTGCATGTGACCTTTGCAGACAGGAGGCCTAGATCTAGCTGTATCTCTAATTACGTTCACTTAGCTCCTCAGGCTGGAAGCTCCTCCAGGAATGGAGACATTCATCTGCCTCCCGTAGGACATCTTAAATGTCTTACATTTCCTAGACTCCTTCCTGCTCTGTGGCCAACCACTTCATCAGCTGGCTGACATACTTAGAAAGAAGTGTGTTTACCTGGGATGGAAGTCCACCAATAAAAACTAGTCTTGAGATGCTGATAGGTATCCCAAGACTTACCAAGCTGAGACTCGTACGGTAGGTCTGGACACTGAGTTCAAACTCAGTGGATTTATAGGTATGTTTGTTATACAGTAGTTAACACCTGGAAAGTTTTTGTGGAAATGTTCGCAGTGTCAGAAGTCCAAGTGCTATTTCAAGAAGTGGCTCTCAACCTGCCATTGGTGTTGTGTCCTATTTATATTATTACGCTGAATTTGTCCAGGATGTTGTGAATGACAGAAAGGAGCAGAAGCAGAAACTGCCAGGCTTTACTACTGAGCATGCTCAGGACCTGTACCACTCTGTACATAGTAAACAAATCCTATACAGATATGTAGTGGTTCCAAATCTACTTTGGAAGCACCACAGGCTTTCTGTGAAAGTCAAGCACTTTGCCTTAGAGTTCTTGAAATGAAATGGAGAAAGTTGTGCATTTCAGGTGAAAGGTCTGGTCTCCTGGGATGTGGGTTTACTTCACTCCTGTCCCCTCTTCATTCTACTGAGACTTTTTCATGATAATACAACCCCTGCCCTCTTCCTAATTTTCTGTGTGGGATATGGTCGGCTTTATGCCTCTCTCCTTTCCCTTCTACCTTTACCATTCCTCAGCCCTTCATGCTGTTCCTTAAACGCTATGCGAGCCATGAATCCTTCACTTACTGTTGGGGGAGACAAGCATTTTCCCTAACTCCCAACTCATGGACATGAGTCCTGTGAACATCCATTCATTCTGGGGACAATGTCCCAAAGAGTTGTCCTAGGAATGCTACACACAGTCACACGGGATGCCTGCAAAGAGTTAGATTCTGAGCACAACCCAAAATGCCTGTCTCGGATTTGCTAAGGTTGAAGGGCAGGAATTTGTGTTTTCAACAAGTACTTTGGCTAGTTCATGGACTCTGGACTTTCAAGCCACTGATTATGAGTCTGAATTTTTTTAATAGACTTACAGTGACTTACTTAGCTAGGGTAAATATATTTATATTATATATAACATAAAGACTCAGAATTACATTTTATATATGTATTGTATAT